TGACGGGACAGGCCTCGCGACGGAGGCACAAACCGGGGCAGAACACACGGCGATAATGTCCCAGCTGAATGCAAGTCCTTCCTCACGAGACCCCTCATCCACGACCCCAGCGTCCTCTCGCCCTTCACAGAGCGCTCAGAAGCGCGCCAAAAAGGCGGGCACATCACTTCCTTCCTTTCCCCCTGCCCTCTCCCCTTCTTCCCCTGCTCCCTCCATGACCCCACTCCTTCCCCCTGTGCCTGCGGCCGTTTTCCCCCTGGCGTTCAATGAATCATTGGATGCGGGGAAATTGGTTGCTCTGGCGGCGTACGCCGCCGGGCTTCGCGGCCGCAGCGGGGAAGGCGACGGGAGGGAAAACATCTCGGTTCCTCCTCTCTTGATTGCGTTGTGCAACGAGGTGGAGATTATTTATCAGGAAGTGCGTCTGGGTTTGGCAGAGCCAACGGACAAAGAGGCCAAGTTACGCAAGAGTGTGCAGGCTGTAAGGAAATAACAGGGGAAATACCTGGCGGTCCCTATAAGTATGTTTGTATGCATGTATATATACAAGTGTATACAAGTGTATATATGTATATATCCTTGACCCTCTATAACTTTCTCTCTCTTTCACACTCTATATCTATGTATTAACGTGTCTTAAAGATGCTTCACGGTACGAATGGGTGCGCCCCAAGCGGTCCGGAGACCACCATAGGTGTTTTGTAAATTTCGCTGGAAAACGCACGTTTATTTGGCGTCTAACGATTTATCATGAACGTGACGGCGTGGTGCTGGGAGGGGCCGTCCCCGGCGTTTTTGAAGATTGCCTCGCGCACGAAGCACTGAGCCCGTTGTTTTGACGCGTGGCGAACTTGCGAGAGCGAGCGCACAAAGCAAAGGCATGTGTTTTAATTAAAAGTGTCCTCCGGGCTCGCCAAGAGAAAGCTTTTTGCACAATGGGATATTCATTCGCCCATCTTCTTTTCTCCTCCCCCGAACCCCTTCTCCTCGTCATCTGCTTCCTCCCCTCCCGCGTCCCTCATCCGACACGCGACAAGAGCCAACACTGCTTCGGTTTCCACCAATACGTCTTCCCAGCCTACTGGTTGCGAGAGACCTCCGCTCTTCCCTCCCATAAGTTTCCGGGCGTGAATGCTCATGCTGCCGCCGCCGCGGTCCCAGAGGCTGGCCGCGTACGAGCAGAGCATGTGTAAGCTTTCGCGCCATTTTCGAAGGCGAGGTCGGCCTTGCACCCACTCCACCACCTCACAATGCCGGCGCTCCCCGCCCACGTCCGTGACCTCCGTCCCGCCCTCCTCCCTCCCCGCCCTCCTCGTCATTTCCTCCGCCTCCTCTCTCTCGGCCAGCAGGTAGTCGAAGCGGCGCATCCGTGCCGACAAGGAGAGTCCCTCTTCCTTACTGTACCGCACACCCACCCCTTTCCCTGTTCCTCCCTCAGATCCGACCTTCTCCCACACTTCCCCAAAGCGCGAGACCCCTGTTTGAGCCGCCAGTACCCCGATGTGCAGCTTTACCACCCTGTCCTTCCCCCCCCCCTCTCCCTCCCTCCCTCCATGTATAATATAGACCGCGTCAGCGTGCGAGGAATTTGGCGCGAAAATGTGAGCATGGAAACGGGCCAGGCCGTCCCCTCCGGGGTAGTTCCGGCGGGCTGCGGCCAAGAAGAGAGGGAGGGGGAGCAGGCTGCTCGTGACCACCAGCCATCCCAACAGGGAAGCGTGACGAAGGAGGAATGACAGGGGCCGGGAGGAAGGGGAAGAGGGAAGGATCGCTCCCACGGCCTTCTCTCCTCCTTCCGGCTGCTTTGGCTGATGCTTCACCCCACATGCCTTCCCTGCCTCTTGTGTCTCCGCCTCGACTCCCTCCTTCTTCCGTTTCCTTAGCGACATCCTCGTTCCCCTTGTCTCCACTCCAAGACCTGGTCTCCCTGTCTGGCCCATTGCGCCCCTCCGACCCCCCTCCCTTTCCTCCAATCGCGCCCACCCAATGGCTGCACACAAGTTCAAAACGGGCAAGGCTGGAAAGATGAAGCGCAGCTCCTTGTGCGGCAAGAAAGAGTACAGGGCGAGGTAGAGGGCCACGGGGAGGAAGAGGAGGAGGAAAGGCTCGAGGTCGAGGCGGAGGGGCTGAGGGAGGAAGGGGAGGGGGACGGAGACAGGGACACCTCGGTCCTTGTCTGCCTCGTCCAGGCTCTCCCCTTTCGCCCCCTCGACTCCAGTGCCCCTCCTTTCCTTCCGTCGGGCCAGAAAGCAGTAGGGCCAAAGGAGGGGGGAGGTTAAGAGGGAGCGAGGGAGGGCGGAGGAGACGTACCAGTGCCAGGGGGAAGCGCCCCATTCGATGGATCTGTTCTCGACGGTATTGAAGAAGAGGACGACGCCCTCCGGCCAAAGCAAAGGGAATGCGGAGCTTTTCTCTTCCCTGCCTGCGCGCCAGAAGTACGAGTCGAGGAGGACGCTCACGACGATCCCTGTCCCGCCGAAAAGGGCGCCGAGGAGGAGGAGCTGGGACAGCTTAAGGTGCCGGCGGAGGAGGAGAAGAAGGAGGAGGGGCAACGCCAGGACGATGACGTCGCACCGGAAGAGGGCCGTGGCCCCGGCGAGGTAGAAGAGACAGCGGGTGGGGGCACGGTACAGGAGGGAGGCATACGCAAGGAGGACGAAGCCTAGGGCGAAGGTGTTCGGCAGCGTCCGGGACACATAAAAAGGGAGATGGAACTGGGAAAGGGTGAGGAGGAGGAGGCATTGCCCCGTGCGGGGACCGAAGCGGAAAGTAGCCGCTTGTCGGAAGCGGAGGAGAGCTGCCCAGAGGAAGAGGGCCAGAACGACACGCACCCCCAGTTGGACCGGTAGCTTGGTCGCGGGGCGGAGGGAGGGAGGGAGGAAGGGGAGCACAAGGTGTAGGGGTAGGGCAAGGAGGAGGGGTCCCCAGAACGTGCGGGGGACGGCCCCGGGGAAGGACCGGTGATCGTACGCGGCGAGGGAGGAAGGGGGGAAGGCAGGAAGGAAGAGGATGTCATGGGTAGCCTGGGTGTTGAAGCTTTCTTCCACCTAGGACGGGGGATGAGAGGAAGGGAAACGTGATGGCGTTGGAAGAATGAAGGGTGAAGGAAAGCAAAGTGAAGGGAGATTGGAATGGAAGATAGAGGGGCCAAGGACGAGGAAAGTAAGGAGAGAAAGGATTAAAGAAGGGAGAGGGCCTGCAATACGCCAGCACTCAGCCTAGAATGATACATCGCAAAACCAACCGGGTCCGTTTACGTCCAATGTACCTTGTTGTAGGGGCATAGCCAAATATAGGACAAAATAACGGCCAGCAAGAGAAGGTCTAAGAAGGTAATATTCCCAAGAAAACTTGCCATGGCTGCTCTTGCATTCGTGGTTGCCCCGATGGGCAACAATGTTTCTCAACAATTTTGAAGAAAACTATCTTCCCTTATGTGCAGGGATGCTTTCTCTTTCAGGAAACGCTCAATCTTCCTTGGTGCTGAAGCTCCCGTTGCACAGACAGATAGTCATAGGGAAAAGGCACTCGCAGCATAGAGGGTCTCATTTCATTGCTTGTAAGACCGCATCAGCGTAGAAATCTGTAGCATGTATCGCAAATATATGTAATCAGACATCAGCACAACCGAAAACCTGGCCGACTTGTAGAGGTAGCGATTCCTTTTTTGCAACGTTTGTGAACGCACAAACCCTTGAAAATACCTACGATTACTCTTCATGACATATCCGTTGACGTTTCCGCGAAGCAGCACTCATGAATAAGCATCAATTATTAATCACAACACGACCTACGACACTTGTGCACCAGCCATATTCCCTCGATTGTTTTCAAATGAAGGTCGTCGCGCGACAACGAATATGACGGCGTGGTAATTTTGATATCGGGCTGTGCATTCAATTAAGGGCGTTTGCTTGCGGCCGTTTGACCCCTTAAATTTGAGCGATATTCAAAAAAGGGGAAACGACAGAAAAAAACAACCAATGACTTTGGCACCGGGGCAGCCTGACTACCCCCTCTTACGCGTGACAATTGGACTGTATCATTCCATTGGAATGATCGATAGCAACATTTCTTTCCGAAGCGCTCAGGTGTCTTCGAGGGCGGGTGGGTTGGTACAGGTGTGCTCGCTCATATACCGGGCTATCATGGGCACTTAATGAGACCGTGAGATGTCCCGCATATTCGGAGGGCTTTTTCTGTCTCGTAAGCTGTAATTTTGCCGCGAAAACCGTATTCAGGTATCGGGAGAGCGCTTTGTCAAAGATCATGCAGGCAGGATTTGGCATCAGGCGTGAAGACTTGACTTTCGGCATACCAAGAATGAGGAACATTAAGTTACGGCGTTCGTTTCCTTTTCATCGTACATATTACTCAGCACGGTCACGATTCACAGTTTTGTACGCACGCAGGCTGAAAGCTTCTTCGATCTGGAAACAAGGTGGATGAAAGACATGCATCCAGGAAGGATCTCGATGTAGTCGACCTGGCAGGCCTTGGGATCCGGCACTCTACCTTTGCACATTTCTGATGTCGCTTCTCACATCCGTCCACACAATGAGACGGTCTTACCTGACGTCTTTCCTCCTCCTGCTGGGCGTGACTTTTATCAACCTATTGGTACTTATATGCTGGACGCATTTCTCAGGCTCGACGCACGAACCCTATTTCCATCTGCCAAAACCATGGGATCCGGCCTCGAAGACAGCGGTAGGGGCACAGGAGGGAGGAGTTCCGAGGAGGACGGCAGCAGCATCCAAGGAGGAGGTCGTCCGCGTGTTCATGGATTTCCCACAGTCGCGGGCAAGTTGGGGCATTGCCCACAATCGTGCTTTGGAAAGCATCCTCAGTCATTATCCGCGAGCGGAAGTGGTGGTTTTGGTAACGGTTCCAAGTAAGGAAGGAGGGAGGGGGGCTATGTATTAACGTGTCTTAAAGA